GCAGCTGCGCGGGAGGCGGTAGCGGCATAGCGTGTGGTCCAGGTCAAAGCCCAGCACCTCGCACTCGGCCAGCGAGAAGGACGGGCTCATCGCGGCTCCGGCTGCCGGCAGGGCGGGAGCAGGGGCGGGAGGCGGAGCAGATGCCGCCGCTCTTCCTTGGCTGCTCGGGGAATGGCTGCGCTTCCCCCGCCCCCTCACCTGCTCAGGCCCGGCACATGTCCGCGCCCGCCAGCGTCGCGGGGCCGCCTGTCGGATCCGGCGTCACAGAGAAGTGGGAGTGGAAGGGACACCTTGGGCCCCTACTCCAACCCCCAGCCAAACCCTCCCATATCATCTAAAGCGGTGCTTTTTTCAGCCCGCGGGTCGTAACCCCCAAGTGGGTCACAAGCAGCCCCAGGCAAACTGCCTAGCAGGTCCCCTTCACCAGAGATAATGATAATAATAAATCAGGGAAACACCACGGAGCCGGGTCCATGAAGGCAGTTTTCCATAAGTGTTCCCAAGGATAACTTAATCTGGCATGGTTTAGTCCAGGGGCGATCAAAATGTGGCCCAGGGGTTGGAAGCGGCCTGCCAGGCCATTCTATCCAGCCTGTGAGGCCCCTAAAAATTTTAGAAAATTAGTATTTATCTGCTCTGGGCTGCCTGTCCTGCAGCTCTCAATGGATTGCCAAAACTCAGTAAGCGGCCCTCCGCCCAAAATAATTGCTCGCCCCTGGTTTAGTACCTGCCGAGCGCCAAGGTGTTGGGGCTTAAAGCCCATTGTATAGAAATGGGAGGCTCCTCCCTAGCTTGCTCCTGGGCCGTAAGTTGCTGCTCCAGGTTCTCTGTCTCTGGGCAGGGACTGCTCCTAGCATGGTGGCAGGCTCCAGGGGTGGGGTCAGGAGAGCACAGGAAGGGATGCAGGGACACTGCCTGCGTGCTGCTGACTTTGTTCCCATCTCTGTAGTGGTGCCCAGGGGAACCTGCAAAACCAAAGGAGCCACTGTGCACCTCACTCCCACCTATTTTGCAGGTTTCCTCATGAACACCCCCCCCCAACTCACTACTCCCTTCTGATCAGTGGGGAGGCGAAAACCATGGTTTTAAATGTGTGGTTTTTGTGTCCCAGCTGGTCAGCAACAGAAAGCAGGGCTGCCAGGCCTTTAATTTAGTAGGTCCCTAATCAGGGGTGGCACTGGGAGGGGGGAGGTTGGAAAGGCTATAGCCACCCCAAAATTTACTTTAGCCCCCTGTAGCCACCCCTCCCAGTACCATCCTTCCCCACCAGGCCTCCACCACCCACCCCCCACAGCTAAGCCCACCCTGCTCCCACC